AAATGTGTGTTGTCTAGCAGGGGCCTGTAAGTCGGGCCCTGTGCTTGAAGCACGGCTCAATTAGTTAATATATCACTGCACGTATACATCCTACCTCATTTTGATTTTTAAAACAAAGTTGGTCGTGCTCGTAAATTCAAAATTACAATATGTTAAAAAGTTGTATTTCCACATATAACAGAGTTTCGTGGTTTTACTTTGTTGAAAGATTTTCATATATGACGTCAATTTGTTGATAATAAAAATCGAATCAACAAATCCTCTCACCCAACTATGATTTTCTCCTTCTAAATTCGCTAGTTTCAATGCTCAAAATTGAAGTAAGAGGGAAAATAACTATTTGAAATGAAATTTTTTGAATTACATCATTTACTCTTAAAAAATGAGGGTATTTACATATTTTCCTCCAAGTTTTGGGACTGTTCGGTCATGTAGGGAATATGACAAGTGACAGATCCATACAGGTTATCTTGTATTATGAATATTACGTTTTATCCACTGGCTCACGTGTAGTCAACCTGGGTAAGGGAAATCTTTGCATAAAGGGTTGCGAATCCTTTGTGCTTTCACTTCCATCGTGTATTATTTTATGCTTCACAAGTGATGGGAGGGGTTTACTTTATTCTTTTCTTGGTCGAACATCAACACCATGGATGTGTAGAGTATAATTAAATCAAAATACATTTATTTTTAATGACATTACAATTTAAACATGAGGTGTTTCCGTCTCTGAGACAGTCTCAATTAGTTGAAGTGTTACAGCTATCATTTCTTATTATATTTTTTTTAATCTTTTTTCTAATTACTATGATGTTTGCTAGATTATTTGTCCTTCGAAGTTGTCATTTAATTTATTTATTTTTGTCTCGTGACCATTGATTGTGAGATAAAATTAAACTAACCACTTCACACTGTACCAAAATTATTACTAGTTCACAAATTAAACCGTTGTGGACTTCAAAATCCCCAATTACAATGCAATGTCAATCCTATCAAATAGCACACTAGAAATCAAATGGAAGTACATATTGAGTTTCAAAAAACAGAAATTAAGAAAAATGATTCTATAAATGGACTTATAAGTTTAAATTGACAGGGGCTGCTACAAAGTCCCAGGCCCTGCCGAGACCTGTGGCTGTGCCTGTGCCTGTGCCTGTGGCTGCTGTGGCTGTGGCTGTGGCTGTGGCTGTGGCTGTGGCTGTGGCTGTGCCTTTGTCTTTCCCTTGTTAGGGTCCTCGTCTAACTTCTTTTTGAAAAATTTGGTCCAGGTGAGCACTTCAAATGCCAGAGCAGTTGTTGCTAAGAATCCAAGCAATCCAATATATCCCCATTTCCAGTCATCATACGGCTTCAGAATCGAAATCCCTTTAAATATGTTAATTGAGATTAGTGCTAGCAGAGAATAGCCCAGAAAATGATGATACATGTTCCAATAACCACGGAATGGATCAGTATGCTTCGGCTTTAATCTCAACGCGATCATCTGCACACAATTATACACATATTGAACCGACCCTCTTAAAATTTTAAGCCGAGAGACAGAGAGAGAGATCGAGGGATTACTTGAATTGTTGTGAAAGTGAAGATAACTACAGCGAAAATGCGATGTAAATGGAAAGTGTAGTACTTGGATTGATTTCCAAGCCAGAGTCCCGTAGCCCACCCAGATGAACCAAGAACATATCCAGCAATCTGGAAGCTGATGTGAAAAGTATTCCACAAGTACCACTTTATAGGAAATTTTCTAAAATACCTTGCAATTATCACTCCAACAGGCAAAAATATCCCCCAACCCACAATGTTCAGCATCCCATGAGTCTGTATAACTCAAAAAAACGACCAATTTAATAAAATAAAATCAAGAAATTAAAATTTATATTAAAAGTATAGGACAAGCTTACCACTCTAATTGAGTGAATGCGATGAGCTGAATAAGTTATGATCTTATAATTAGAATTCAAATCTATGGTTTCTGCACAGTCCAAATTGTTGAGAGTTTTGGGATGCATTTTGGGTTCAATGTCAGCCACAGTATACCCAATTTGCCAAACAATGCTTGTTCTTGAACTGTTGTACTCTTTAGGAAGAAAAACTGTCGCTTTTATCGCGTAATACTGGGTTGCATTCTGTAAGAAGAAGCTGAAATTCTGAATTTTCAGACCCAAATCATCAACAGAAAATAGTTGGCACCCAATTCTTGTACCGTCAGTAATGTTGTACTGTTTATTATACAACTTATTTCCATGCTTGATCCCGATGAGGGCTCGAGTCCCGACCATGTGTGGTCCAAGCGGGTTCAGCCCCCAGGCTAGCCACCCCGCCTCCCCTTGTAACCTGGCTCCAATTACAATATCAAGTCTCCGGGAGGAATCATTGTACTTCCATGCAAATTCCGCCCCCAATGTTTTTTTCATGCAATTCGGCGTTATGCCTAGTGCCTTTGCCTCATCAAAAAATTGCTGGCTGCATGGATGCCCATTTGCGAACAAAGGTAGAAACAGAGCAAGGATGAAACATAGTCCTAATGTGAGTGACATGTTTTGGGTTGGAACACTAAATCCTAACGGTTTGGAAGTGAATTTATAATAATGTATCAGGTACTGGTGTTAATGAAGTTTGAAACAAGTTACGGATCCAATTCTGTTTCTTCTGTGGTCCTTCAATTAAATGATTCATGAAGAAAAGTGAAGACTGTGAAGTCGCTGTCTGCTGGGGATAATCTTTTTAACTTTTTAATTCCTTGTATTTGATACATTGCGTGAACTGTAAGTGTAGACACCATATTTTTCACGTGAATAATGTAATGTTTTGTGTACAATCTAAGGTTGACAAGAAATTTGACAATACACTTTAATTCAAATTCGAATGAACAGGAAAGTGTGTGGTGTTTAAAAACTGGCCACTTAACTTTCAACATGTGGCACATTGTCAAATTTGATGTCAAAAAAATTGTACTTGTAGCATGGTTGTTTTCACGTTGATGCAAAAGATGTAATAGCATGAGGGAAAACCCTCGCTTCCTATCTTCCCTTTAAAGTAACTTCCTTTACACTACTTGGAAGTTTTTTTTCACCGATTTTGAAGGGTACTGTTTATGAGAGGTTGGAAAATCGGTGCTAGCTATTTTTTTGGCACCGATTTTGGATGGTTTAAAAATCACCAAAAATCGGTATAGTATAATTTTGATCAATTTTCTCAACCCACCAATCGGCGGGTTTTGACAGTTTCTCACTTCTAGTTTTATCCTCTACAAAACAATTATTTCCAATCCATAAATATTTTTTTCGAAACAACTTGTAAATAAAAATATATTAACTAAAAATTATTTATAAGTAAGAAAATTACATTATAAATAAAATATTACTTATAAAATAAGAAAACTTACATTATAATTAAAAAATCAATTTTGTGTAAAAAACTTTGTTTATAAAATAAAAATACTACTAATAAGACAATAATTCTCTTATAAAATATAAAAAGCTATTTATAAGTAAAAAATTCACTTAAAATTATTTAACAATATAAAATTAAATTATAATTATAAAATTTATTTATAACTAAAAAATTTTAACTTATAAGTTTAAGTAAATATTCAACTTTATTTAATTTTTTAAGTTAAATATTAATTTATATGTAAAAAATTTACCTATAAGTGAAATATCACTTATGGGTAAAAAAAAAATTAATACAAGAAACTATAAATTCAAAATTTTACTTAGGGACACATATGTAATTTTATTCTTTTAAAAAAATTTCAGAACTAGTGGATAATAAACTCTCAAATATAGGTTGGACAACTTTAAAAATCGCTACTAAAATCAGTTAAAATTGATCCGATCGTAAACGCTCAAAATTTGTACGCTGAAACTACCAAGCAGGCCTAATGGGTTGTATTTAATTGGGGACTTTAAAAAACTTTTATAGACTTTTTTTTCTGGAATTCATGGACATTAATAGATTTGCATGGAATAAACGAGAGTCTTTCAATTTTCTATAGACTTTTGTTTATAACTTTTATAGAATTCATAAGACATTTGAAAACTTCAATTTAAAGTAGAATTCACGTGGATCTTGTGCTATAGGGTAAAGTTCTCAAATAGGAGGTGGAGGTTCAATCCCCACCATCCCCTTTTCCCCTCCATGTAATAAAAAATATTTTTTGAATGATAGAAAATTTAGTCGCCTTAATCTTAAATAAATTAAACTAAGTTTCCATATATTTAAAATCATTCAAATTTAATTAATTAGGGACCCACGTAATTAAATTAAAATCAATTACAATCCCACTATAAAAGCAGTTAATGTAATTCAACTGCATACTATGAAATCCTTGGTTGTCGACTCTCTCTCCCTTTCCTCAATTCTTGTCACCATTTTTTTCTATCAATTAATATCATCATTCTTAATAACCAAATTAATGTGTTCACCAATTTCAGTATTTCAAGAATATGAGAATTAGCAATAAGCCGAAAATAGAGATCGAAACGAGAATGTGAATTGTTCATAAACTGCAATAGACATTCATAGCCACTGTTTTGTGTTTTTGGCTTCGGCTGTATACAATGCAACAGAATTTTGTTTCTTACTAAACCACGATACAAGTGAAAAGTCTAGAAAATGACACGTTCCGCTAATGCTTTTACGATCGATGGTGCAACCGACCCAATTAGCATCCAAATAGCTAAGTAGATCAATGTGAGTGCCATTGGGATACCAAAACCCTAAAGTTCTAGTGCCACTAAGATATCTAAAGATTCTTTTTACGACCTTAAGATATGATTCTTTAGGATTTGATTGAAATCTAGCACTTAGGCACACACTAAACATAATATCGGGTCTACTTGCGGTTAAATAAAGAAGATATCCTATCATATCTCAATATTTTGTTATATCAACGAAAATACATTGGTCATCCTTATCCAATTTTATGGATGTTCTTAGAGGAGTATTCATTGACTTCAAGTCATCCATGTCGAACCTCTTGAGCATGTCCAATATATACTTACTTATATTGATGAAAATTTCATCACAAGTTTGCTTAATTTGGAGATTGAGGAAGAGTTTAAGCTCTCCCATCATACTCATTTCAAGTTCCATGCTAGTGCATTTAGAAAACTCTTCACAAAGAAGTGTGTTAGTCGCACCAAATATGATATCANAGAAAATATTGATTCTCATTGTGATAATAACTTCGAGGTTGGGATAAATCAATTATTTTTTGTAAAACTGATTTCTTTATAGCATTTCGAACAATACTGGCACAATCGCCAATTTTATATAAAGTCTTCTCCTATCGAGCAGTTGTAGAATTTGTTAGTTCAACAAGTCTTCTATTTTATTCAAATAATATCTATTAGTAGAATCATTAATATCTTTAGAAATAATAATATCTCTAGAACTAAATCTTTCTAAATTTTCTTATAACCGAATAATCTCATTTCGATATTTACTATAGTCTATTGTGAGGAAGAAATGTGATCTTCTAAAATTTGTAATTTTTCTTCTAATGTGTGCTTTTGATGGCGATGATGACTGAGAAGTGGATGCTTGCATAGTCTATCTAACTCTTTCATATATATAAAAATTAGTTCCTATAGTTTCTCTACAAAAATTTAAAGTTTCTTCTAGTTTGTAAAATCCTTAAAATAAAGGATTCGAAAATCTTTCTATTTGTTGTAATACTTTTAGCCAGTAATTATATATACCAGGCTTTCTACCTTTAACTAATGCAAATAAACTAAAATTTCGACTTCTTACTTGATTATGAATATGTCTAAAATGATTAGCTAAAATATTAATACTATCAAATTTTTATTTAGAGTCACGTGCCACTCATGTATTCTTCAAGGACTCGAGTTCTTTTGTTAAAGACTCTATAAGCTTTACTAGTCGATAAATATCCTAGAAACATTTCAATATCGGATTTTGAATCAAATTTTCTCAAATTTTCTTTTGTGTTCAAGATAAAGCATTTGTACCCAAAGACTTTGAAATAACCGATATTGGGAATTCTATTTTTTCAAATATCATATGGGGTTTTGATTTTTTTCGACTAATTAAAACTCTATTAACAATATAGCAAGCGGTGTTAACGGCTTCGACCCAAAAATATTTTGGCATGCTATTTTCATTTAGCATGGTCCTAGCCATTTTTGTAATGTGTGATTCTTCATTTCTACTACACCATTTTGTTGGGGAGTTCTAGGAGCCGAGAAGTTATGTTCATATCCATTTTCATTGCAAAACTCATCAAAGACAAGATTATCAAATTCTCCACGATGAACACTTCTAATGGTTGAAACAGGGTATCATTTTTCATTTTGAACCTTTTTGCAAAAATGTTTGAAGGTTTTTAGAACTTCATCTTTAAGATTTAAGAAAAGAACTCAAGTGAATATTGAGAAATCATCAACAATGACGAAAGCATAGTGTTTTCCACTTAAACTACCAGTCCTCGATGGTCCAAAAAGATTAATGTTGAGTAATTGAAGTGGTTTCATATTTGATTAGTGTAATTTGGGTTTAAATTATCTTTTTACTTGTTTACCATATTGACATGCATCAAAAATTTTGTCTTTATCAAACTTTAAATTTGGTAAACCTTCGACAAAACAATTTTTGGAAATTTTAGAAAAAAGTTTCATGCTAACATAACCTAATCTGCTATGACATAACCAAGTATCTTCTTTCAAACTCCCTAAACATTTTTCATCATTTTCAAAATCTATATTTATGATATAAATATCTTTGTTTCAACTTCCTTTAAATAATACCTCTTTAGATGTAGCATCCTTAATGAGACATTTGGAAAAATCAAATTTAATATGATAGTCTTTATCACATAATTGACTAATACTAAGTAAATTATGTTTGAGGTTATTTACCAATAGCAATGAAAGGAGAGAGATGATTACCAATGTTTCCAATTCCGATGTTTTTTCCCTTTGCATTGTCTTCAAATATAACATGACTTCCATCATTCCTTTTGAAATTCGATAGTAAAGTTCTATCTCCGGTCATGTGATTTGAGCACCCGCTATCCAAGAATCATTTGCTCGTCATCTTCTTCTGTACCTACATAATTCAACTTTTGATTTTTGGTACCCACACAAGTTTGGGTACTTGGTAGTTAGTTTTAGTAGATTCTCGAGTCCACTTAATTTTACTTTCAAAGTGTAGCTTCATTTTTGTTAGACAATTGTAGGCAATATATCCATCCTTATTGCAAAAGATACAAATAGTTTTTGTGAGAATTGAATTTGAGGTTTCGACAAACAAATTTTTGAAAGATTTTTGTTTCAAAAATGGTTTATATACAATACCCCATTTATCAAAAACACATTTTTTTTTATCACCGAGTATTAAATCAAAATTCTTCTTCCATTGACTGAATTAATAAATATTTTTTGTTAAATCTTCAACATTTTCTTTCAAAGAATACTTTTCTTTATACAATAAATCATAATCAACATTTTCCTTCTTAGTTTCTAAAATTTTCTCAATTTCACTTTTTAATAATTTATATTTCTTTTTAAGA